TGAAAAAAATCCCAAATAAAACACGTGAAAAATCCTGGTCGTTTCCGAACAAATGCCTAATGGAATTCAAAAACAGAGGCGGGAGTATGTATTTAGCTTGTCAAAAGCCACTTGAAGAGAACTAGATTTTATCCGAGTATTTTAGATCAATCAGTCTCTCTTCGTATCTGTTTAAAACCGTAGTGAGACTGTTTGATCTGCATATTATAATTTCTTATCAGAATATGGGCATACGTGCTTAGGGTAGGTTGGGCGCAACTGCCCTGCACACGATTGTGAATTCGATAGGAGAAGCCTTCAAACATAAAGACTTCACAGAACCCACTGTGACATTGGGGGGCTTTTCACAACGACCTTCGGTAAGAGTAGAGCAATGCCAGTAGCCAGAGTTGGGTAAACAGGGATACAGCACGCTGTACATAGTATTCCGTCATTCCATCTTTCGACTGTGGTTTAGCGACTTGAAATAGGAGCTGGGGAGTAGAGGATGCCGAATGATTTCCTAGTTTGATAATTTTGTAATTTAAATTAGAGTGAGTTTGTTGATACTTTCCCCAATGTGAACATATCGACGGCTAAGCGGAAGATCGACCTATCTCGGCGACCTATCTCGTGTGCCCTTTGAGGGATACAGGTTCGAGTGCTCGGAGGCAGAGTTTTTATTCGTTTTTCTATTTTATTTTTTTCTTCTTAAAGTATTTTTTTTTTAATCTCACTGTCCTAAATAGAAAAATATATTTTTAATTTCACTTGCTCTTTGGAAACTTATTTTTTCAGTTTTATGTTTATATTTTATTGTTTAAAAAAAAAATAAATCTGTTTTTAACTTCATTTAATTTTTAGGAGTCTTTTTTTCTTTTATTGACTTTGTTTTATTTTTAGTTTAAATTTATTTCTATTTTTAGATATTGTTTTAAAAATCTAAATATTTTTTTTTTAATTTCATGGTACTTTTAGGAACTTACTTTATAATTTTTCGTGAATTTATTTGTTTGTTGAATTCCCGTTTTATTTTTAGAATTTGTATTAAAAAAATTTCATTTCGTTTATATAATTTTTAAGAACTTATTCTCTTTTTTCCTTCCATTGTTTTCTTAATTTATTTTCACTTTCTTTTAAGTATCCGATTTTATTGTTTTAAAATAATGTTTTTTATTTAATTTTCTTTTATTTTAGATTTTAGTACCTTAAAAAGAATTTTCTTCTTTAGATTTTTGATATATTTCACATATTTTTGCGTTTTTACTTTGTTTTTTTTTCCTACTAATTTTCTGATTTCATTGCTTTAAAAGGAATTTTTTAAATTAAATTTTCTTTTATTATAGATTTTATTTTCTTAAAAAGAATTTTATCTTTAAATTTTTTAAATATTTTTAATTAATTTAATTAAATTAAATTTCGAAAGACCCCAAAATTCAAAAAATCAATGAAAAGAAAACAAGGAAAACCCAAGAATCTCGACAGAAATTCACTAAAAAATACCCTAAAAATTCCGAAAGATCCCAAGGATAAAGTACGCAATATTCCTAGAACTTCCGAAAAAATCGATAAACCTTAAAGAAAATATCCAAAAATATCCCGATAGCAATCGAAACATTAAAAAAAAAATCTAGTCAAATCCAAACAATCCCTCAAAGCGTCAACGCTTCCATCTTTGATAGCACTGTTCTAGATAATCTTAACAACGAGTTGTAAGGACTCAAAGTTAAATATGTAAAATCTTTGTTTGCGATGCTTTGCTACTGGCATTTGTCATTTGCCTATTGACTGTGCTGCACATACATATGTACACACTCTTACATACAGGAGCTATGAAAAGTCAAAGCAAGTAAAACCCAAAAAAAAAGAATCAAGAAGGCAAACAAACCAAGCAATGAGAGATAGGGGTGAATGGAACTGAATGGAAGTGCAACAATTCAAATGCTCAGCTTCTTTGTGCAGTAATGGCATTGGCAAACATTTACCGATTGGCGTCAATTGATTTTTAGCCGCTGTAAGTGCCAGCCTCCAGCTTTACAACGCTACACTTGGCTGTCGCTTTTCATGTTTGTTGTTCGTGGGTCCTTTCGTCACTTCTGATTTCAAGTGACTGAGATTTGAACGGTTGATTGAGATTTTTTTTGTGCAGAATTTTCGATGGCAATGCATTACGTGTAATCAATAAATGTAAACCTACAGGCGTTTGAGTTTCGCCCACAATCGTTAACACATTGGGAGCACGTTTTGATGCTGAAAATAAAATTCGTTACTGTCATTTAATAGCGCTTCAATTAAACGGTCGCGTCAAACGGAAATTGAAAGTTTAATCAAGAGTGAAAGTATTGCGAATGAGTGATGCATGTATGTATGTTAGAAAATTGTTAGAATGATTTATTGAATTATGTTTGATGGAGGTGAAATTAGATTTTATTCTTAGGCTATTACTTAGGGCTGTAAACTTAACTATTTTAAAGTTATTTAGGAACCCAGTGGGAAAATGTAATGTATAGTAATCGAAAAAATAATCAGCTAAAACAAACCCTTTTCACATTGGAAAATGCATTTTTTTCCTACGAAAAGTGGGGCATTCAATTTTGCATTACCTATTATCGAGAAATGAATGTATTTTAATATGAAATTTTAGGAACTTTTTGAATACATTATAATGCAGATTACATAGTTAGCAGTAATAAATACTATCAAGAACTCATAAGAAATACATTATATTATATATCACCCCTGGGGTCCACCGGGATCACTTTGGGAATTACTGGGTTAGATCAAGGCGGTTGACAGGCAAGCGAAACTACGAACTCTAACTTCCAAGCTATAGCGAAAAAGGCAGCATGCCAAGAATGTAGTTTCGCTGGCGGCAGAGATCGGTCGCGCGGCTGGTTAAAAAATGTGATCTCAGATGTTTAGGCAGCAGTCATGTAAAAGCTATGCTGCTTAAGAGGAAACGTTGGGAGGATTTCATTTTTCGTCCTGTACGCAGCTATGACAGTAAGCCACCGGTGTCGCATTAAGTCGCACCGCGTAAGCATAAGTAGAAATATTGCAGCATCACATAAGCAGATTTTCATTAATTTAAGGTTGATGGATAGTTCGCTGTTAAAAGCCTCTCCGTCGCTCCTTTCATACAACTTTCGGAAACTATTTAAAACCTACAGCTCAGAAACGAGCCGAGCACCTAATACCTATAATGGACCTGAGCAAGAAATCTCCTTAGAAAATATTCCTAGTCCCTTACCATTTGGTGCTGATATCTACTTTACTCTCTTGTCAATGATAGGCTTCCACTGCAATTTCTTATCCTCTTAGTCAAGGTCAGATCATAAAGACAATCCAAAAATGCACCACCGGGAGCTCTCCCTCTAGAGCTTCACTTGCAGTTCGTTTGGCACCACAATCGAAAGAAGGCTGAGAGAATGCCACCCCCTATAGCGTTCCCCTATTTACCCGACGCTCTCTGGAGGTTCTGTCCCATTCCGACGTGACATTTCTGACGCAGAGCATGCGGTATATACTCGTAAGCTAAAACTGTCGGTTTCAACCCCAAGCTTAGCTGGGGCGCTTATCTAACCGGTCACGCAAAACGATCTCACCATCTTCTATTTCGAAATCGGTTATTTTGGATAGCATGGGAAATAGGTATCGAGAATAGACTCAATCGACTACTCACTACTCATATGGAGCTTAAACACGTATTCTTTTTTACTGCTTGCTTAAAGCCATTTATTTGTAGCTTTAGTTAAGGAATTATTCATTTAACCCCTTATGTATATGTGTTACATATATGTTTAACCCAGTTCAGCAATTGTACGAAGCCCGACAGTATCAAATCAAATATATTTAATTGAATTAGTTAACTTTAACACCACCAGTATTAATACATTTTCTTTTGTTGTGGTTTCCCCCAAATATTTTTCAGTAAAAAAAATAAAGATTCGAATATGATTGCACTGACCCAGGGCAAATGGAGTACACGCGATGTTCATGATACCAAATTTAATGAGGAAAAGCTGTCGCTACAATTTCGCACAGGACGTTTGGGTGAGTGCGCAAATATTGATGATACGTACATACATATGTAAGTGTGTGTGTGTGTGTTTGCTTGCACTTTAATTCCGTATTTCTCTCTATTTATCTGTTGTGCATGGCCTTTTCTGGCAAAACAAAATGCGTCTAATCAACCGCAAAATCAATGAACGCAAATGAACGGACTGTAATGGGAAATCGCTGATGGACAATGCTAACAACAACACACGTGTGTGTGTATCGCGGTATCGTGTTGGGTGTGTTGGTCGTGATGTGCTAACCACATGTGGCGGTCATGGTCGTTCTCTTTATTCTGCATATTTCATTTGAAGGCATATTTGGGTTGGCGCTAAATCGCTACAGCAATATGCCGTATCAGACTTGGGAAATCAGGCCGGATTTCAAAAGGTATGTATGTATGTGTGTATTTGTGAGAAAAATGGAAATGAGTGTATGCAATGTTGTGTTGTTCAAAGCCACATTTGCATTTGTGATCAATGCATAGGCAACCTGCTGCGAAATCCAATCGATTTCAGCTTAAGCGGTTGCTTTGAATTTTAAGCAATGAATAGTAAATATTTCTGCTATTTTCTATGGAAGTTTTACTAGGCCTGGTAGGTAGACATTTTAACCGCTTTTATCTTCTTGAAACATACAAAAAACAGTTCTACTGCCTACATGCGTCGGATTCTCTTATATTGAGCAATATTTTAGTGCTTTTACGTACCATTGAAGCTCTAAATTGCTTCAGAAAACTTACTACATAAATTTAGGAAAATGAAAAACGTCTTTTAATCTCTATAAGAAGTAAAAATTCGCATGACGAAGATAAAAATAAGTTAGTTGTGTACCAAAGTTTAATTTGCGCTTTAAAGTTTCCCTAGGAGGTATTAGCTTTCTGGTTCGCACACACCTTCTCTAATCCAATTAAAAGCAAATAAAGCGGACAAATCCCAACGCAACCGAAATTGGAAAACTTTATTCGCAAGCCAATGTTGCAGCAACAATGCAGCGGGTGTGCACCGAACAATAATAACATAGCGAAATTAAATGTTTACAAATTCAATCACATATGAGCAAATCTCACGAGTTGCTACATTTTTTTCTACAATACGTATTTTTGGTCGAAAATGGTGGCACACTTACCTTAGACAGTGAATTGTCTTTAGTTTTGCATAAAGAGGAAGATTTTATTGCAAAATTGCATTTAAACGAAAACTTGTATAACATATACTAAACAAAAAGTAAAAAAAACAGATCTATACTGCGCTGGGAATAAAAATGTTGTAGCCGGTAAATTAGGTTACTGTCAATTTTTAAACCCTTTTCGCATTTTGTGTAAATACGCTTGTAGCCGGCACATTTTTTCCCCTCCTCCGCCCCCTCCTTTAAACCCCTTCTGTGTATTTATTTTTCTGAAACATTCTCTCTCCGTATCTCTCTTCTCTTGCAGCCCTGGCATGATTTTCTTCTCCTTTACTGCCTCTATTATCAGCCTTGATATGAACATCACTTCCACCGGTTATTGTGTGAATAATTTTCAAGGAGGCAGCACACCTGCAATTAGCGAGATGCTAGGCAAGACCTTATCCCTAGCCGAACTGAAATCAACGCTCATTGCCGCTGCCGTTGATATATTTCCTGAACCCGACACTTTCTGCTACACTGAAGGCACTTGCGAGAAGAATTTCGTCATGGAAATGCACTTGTATGCGTGCATCTCTACATTGGTGCAGTCCCATAACTTCAGTTGGTCCCGGTGGAATCTCTTAGCGGGCAGCCGAACTATTGTGTTGCTTATGCGCGAATTGATCGAGGGCAAGAAAGTGGTAAGTAAAGAGAAATGTGTGTTCGTTGTTATTCTTTACAATACTTTAATATTTTTTACCTTTGCTTTTCTTTGTATATTTTACTTAGCCCTACCATTCCACCTTGCTGGTGACGCCTTTGAAGACTGCCATAATCGACTGTACCGAAGTTTCGCCAAGTTTCAATTCAGCTGGCATTGCTGGTATGGACTACTACGCCGATCTCTATCAACTTTCACAGGTGTATGCGCAACCCAGCAGTTTGCAAAAACAGCGGAATATGGATCCGATGTTGCGCGAAAATGTGGCACGCATTTTGATGGCCATAAGACCATTAAGTTTTTGTTAAAAAAAGGAGTTTTAACCCCTTGAAATATATGCATATCTAAAATTTTTTCTATACATATATTTTATATATAACCGCATATAATGAAGATATTTTAAAAATAAAGCAGCAGAAATGAAATGTAGCATTCTGAGGGGATGCACAATAGAACAGAGCTGTAAAAATTTGCAATAAATTTGTTTAGCAATCAATGATTGTGCTACTAATAGGATTACAATCAAAATTTATTGCATTTTTCTGATTGTAAAAACTACAATCAATTTAATTGTAAGCACATTTCATTGCAATGATTGTGATTGCAATCAAATCACTGATTCAATCAAACATTTTAATTGCAATCTCAAAAATGCAATAATTTATTCATGCTTTTTTAATAAAGAATTGAGCAAAATAGAACGTGAAATTGAGAAAAAGTTATTGAACACAAAACTAGTAAAAACTTGCAAGTGAGTAGTTGTTGCATTGTTTTGGGGCATCTTTGATGGGGGTGATCGACTTGCACACACGCGACATCCCAAAGCGTCGACTCGTAGTGACACCCGGTAACGCCCTGGCAGCTAATTCGAGCGAGGACCCCTCCTTAATCCCTACGCCTATTATTCCCTTTCTGACAAAACTCTTTGCCAGTTCTCCACTCCCTTCTCTTTGAAGGGCCGGATCAAGGTGTCATACGACCCGTGCCGAGAATCAGCCAAACCTTAAAACTTCAACTCCAGTACGGGAGTCCGGCGCTCCCAAACAAAGGCCAAAAGGAGTCACAAACTCAACACAAAGCAAAGCCATGGTACCTCCGGGCCTAGCCAAAAGTAGCCCTATGCGGAAGCAGATATCAGGTGCACCCGCACCCACCAGCAGTAGGACCAAGGCACCCCCTGGCCCGAGAAGTCCAAAGGCCGATTCTACGCCAAACATAGCACTGGACGTGAGGCCTGCACGGCAAACACCGGAAATCCAGGGCCTTCCTGTAGTGGGCTTCGAACTCAGCGAACAGAGTCTGGCCATCCCACTGGGGGGACCCAGGAACATGGTGACCTGAAAGAGGGCAGTCAGTTCGAAGACGACCTATCTCAGAAAACTTTTCAAGAGCGAGCTACTTTAGAATTTTATTGAAGAACGCCCTATTTCAGAATTTTATTGAAAAACCCCCTATCTCAGAATTTGGTTGAAATGCCCTATCTCAGAATTTGGTTCAAAAGCGACCTATCTCAAACGAAAATACATTGAAAATGTGCTGAGATAGGGCACTTTTGCATCGACAGTTGAGATAGGGCGTTTCTGAACCGAATTCTGAGATAGGGCGTTCTTAAATCAAATTCCGAAGAAGAGCGTTATTGCAAAATTTTCTGATATAGGGCGTTTTCGAACTGGCTGCCGAGATAGGTCGATCTTCCACTCAGCCAGCGATACGTTATACTACTAGGGATTGTTGAAAAACACGATGGAGGTGCTGTTTAGTTGCAGCTTTGTCATGCAGAAAATCGAATTTTTATGTACGCACATTGTATATGCTCTCGATTAGCGGAACATTAAAGACGGCAATCAAAACAACCTACTGCTAGGTGTAATGCCGTGAGGGGGTTCACTTTGCGCTGCTAATGCGATGGTTAACCCACTGAGGGCTTGTGTGCCTCACCATCGTACTTCCAATTATTCATCAAAATAAATGTCATTTAGACAGATTACAGTTAGCAACTTTTATGCAATTAATGATTGCAATCAAAAACTTATTGCAATCAATTTCTTCTAATTGCATTGATTGCATAATGTAAATTGCAATTAAACCAGATTGCAATATTACGTAAAAGATGCGATTGCAATCCAATTTGATTGCAATTTTTTACAGCCCTGCAATAGAAATTGTTTCTCCATCGCGAGATATAATGTTGAAATTTTGCGTAACACTTTTAGATTTTTTCTCGTTCGAAATCCTTCTACCAACTAGCCTTTCATAATTGAGAGATATCATGGAAATTGCATCTGGCGGATAGGTTTCATAAATTTTCCAATGCTCTTTAGGAATACAAAGAATTTATCCACAATGAATCTATACGACTTTATGGGGCTTATCCCCGTTAAGCTTTGTATGGCACTGAGTACATAATTACGTATATTAAGTTGTGGCACACAAAAATGAGTTTGGAAAATATGCAAAGGCAGAAAAATCTGCGCTAAGTTCAAGGCTGGCAGACAGCCAACACAGCGGCTTATCCATAGTAACGATAGTCTAATTTCAATTTTCAACCAAAAAGTCTTTATAGAAAAGGAATAATGAAGGAAGGGAGTCGAGCTCAAATGCCGTAGTTAAAGTTTTTCGCGATTCTGCATTCTGCTCAAAGCTTAAATTGGTGTCAGAATACGCCAATATGCATTTTAAGCTAATACCTTTGCCGCAAGAAGAGTAGAATAAACTGACTGAAATATTTAGTCATAGATGTATAACAAATTACACTCCACTGAAGTCTTAGGTGTTCCTGTTCTCCAATGCCAGCTGGCAAGCCACTTCAACCATCTCATCTTTAGCTCTCAAAAGCTTGCCGCCTTCTGAATTGCTCGTGAATTTAGTTCGCATTGCACCTGTCTATGGAGCTTAACCTATCCAACCGATGAATGTGGTGTTGTTGGTATTACTGTGATGCTTAGAGCTGTCAATGATGTCGACTAGTTTATTAGCTGCGACTTAATACTCGTAGTTAACGAGTGTGTGTGTACGAAAGGCGCGCACACGCCATGAATGCATAATTAATTTCACATAAAGCAGTTTATTTGCTTTTGTTGCCACTATTACGGCTGCAGTTGGAGGCTGCTACAGAAATTTTGGCCTAAAACATATTACATTGCCTAACAACGGCACGAAATTTTGGCGTAGGTCAAGTGAGCTACATTATGCGGTTTTTTTTTAGACAAAAGCGAATTAATTCTCTATTCTAAGTAAGTGCCATCATGTTTAAATAGTAATATTAGTGAAAAGCTTGGCTCAATTAGAAGTAGCCACAGTAGCTGGGTGGGCCTTTGCTATGTTATATATCATCGATGCCTTTGCAAACCTGCCTAAATCATCATGCATGCAAATCGTAAAATCCGGATTCCAACAACAACTAATTTGTAGAATGACAGTTAGATGTAATACCAGCTATCAAGTCAACGGCCTTACAGAAAATACGTTTTTTCGCTCTTCTATTAAATTTAACTGACTTAAGATAGGCGGTTTGGCAACTGGATATGTTATATGTTATGCTAAGAAGTTGTTGTAAGTTTATAAATTTAAGATCAATTTTACACAAATGTGGGGTAAAAAATACATATAAGAATGATGTTTTGTGGAACGATTTTCCGGCATACTCCTACCCTGTCGGAAGCACAAACAACAACAAAATATATATAAGAATATTGACTTTCCATTAGCGAGCGCCTTTTTGTTACCAAAAATCTGCTGGTAATGACCAACCATCTCACAAAGCCGGGCATGTTACTTTAAAGTGCTCAAATTTACAATACAGTCACGGCCTGCCAAGCCTGCCAAGGTTGCGCAAGCCCGACTATTTTTACTACTCCCACTAATCTTGTTGGCAGTTAAATAAGTTGCCACCTCTCCATAACGTTTGACTTTCTCCTTAGCATTTTCGCTCATGTCGACGTTAATGTTAACGACATCTCCCTAATGTTTGACTTTCCGTCTCGGCTTCATGGTGAATTCGCTACGATATTTGTTGTTGTTGTTTCAGTCTTAGGCTGTCATTCTAGATGACATTTGCGTGAATGGAATGCTGTAGCTTATGTCAGCGCGTGTCTTCGCATTTAAAATTACGTTAATTATATTTTAAATGAAACGCTCTTTATGCAAGCCTTCACACCCGCGTATGCGCCTCAGCTAGTTTCGCTTAATGACAGACCCATTTTTACTTCACACTTCTCTTTGCTTCTCGCCTTCCTCATTTTACTTGCGAAGGGAAGTCACTTAGGGCCACTTGTCTTGTTACCTAAATGAATATGAATTTCTAATTGCAAAGAAATGAAAGTAGTCAAGGTGTCTACTTACTTCAAGTGCGTAGAATTTCAGCGAAAAATATGTTAAATAGGAAACATAATTTTTTATTTGTTTTCAAGTGCAAAAACGCTTTTGAGCTACTGACCTCATTACCGATTAAAGTATGCAGACCTCTTTAACTTTCGTAATTTAAATCGTTTTTCTAAAGGTTCCAGTTGTTGGCAATATTGGTGAGAAAAACTACTTAAATTTTTTCATTTACATAACCACAATGCCATTAAAATATCAAGAAGAAACTATAAAGTTATCCATTGTGGCGATTCATAAGAAGCATTCCCAATAAAATAGCAACTAAGTAAGAATGATAACAATTAAATTCCTTCCTTTGGCGCATCCCGCAGACTTATGGCCATTTCATCGCGATCAGATTTGTTTTATTGTGCCCCTATTTCAACTTTAGTTGATTAAGTTTAAAAATCTGGCCCAGCGATAAACTAGGGCTCTGGAGGTGGTGATAAGGTATTCTATGTATTGCTCCTCTTCACCACAGATTGAGCTCTTTTGTCACTGAAGCCAAGTTATTATATCCCTCTAACTTGTGCCAATGGCTAGCAGTGCAGGATTTTGATCAATATATCAGCTGGGTTCAACAAATGGTGTGTCTACCCTATTTTTATTACCTTCCTTTTATTAGCTCGGGATGTAACTATGTAATATTGATGCGCCTAAAACATGCAGCGATTTCTATTCTCAAGTAACATACCTGATGACAGTACGAATGGCAATTATAATAGGGAGGTTTTAATTTAATAATTTTTAATAATTTTATTTATTATTAGTTTGGAAACCCGTTTTTTCATATTCATCATGGCCCTCATGATCCGGCGCCCAGATTAAGGAGACCCGATTATAGATGGCCAAAACATTCAGTGCCCTATGGCACTCTTATAAGGAGTTTTGATGAGATCTTTATTCAGGCATATTGCCTCTTTAATAAGACGTTGCGTCTTTGTTTAAG